GATTCTAAAATTCTAATTTTCTAAGTTTCTGGGATTCTAAGTTTCTGAAATTTTGAGATTCTGAGATTCTGAGATTCTGAGATTCTGAGATTCTGATATTCTGAGATTCTGAGATTCTGAGATTCTGAGATTTTAAGGATTCTAAGATTCTGAGATTCTAAGGATTCTAAGATTCTGGGATTCTGAGATTCTGAGATTCTGAGATTCTGAGATTCTGAGATTCTGAGATTCTAAGGATTCTAAGATTCTGAGATTCTGAGATTCTGAGATTCTGAGATTCTTAGATTCTTAGATTTTGAGATTCTGAGATTCTGAAATTCTGAGATTCTGAAATTCTGAGACTCCGAAATTCTGAGATTCTGAGATTCTGAGATTCTGAGATTCTGAGATTCTGAAGTTCTGAGATTCTGAAATTCTGAGACTCCGAAATTCTGAGATTCTGAGATTCTGAGATTCTGAGATTCTGAGATTCTGAGATTCTGAGATTCTTAGATTCTTAGATTTTGAGATTCTGAGATTCTGAAATTCTGAGATTCTGAAATTCTGAGACTCCGAAATTCTGAGATTCTGAGATTCTGAGATTCTAAGGATTCTAAGATTCTGAGATTCTGAGATTCTGAGATTCTGAGATTCTGAGATTCTGAGATTCTGAGATTCTGAGATTCTGAGATTCTGAGATTCTTAGATTTTGAGATTCTGAGATTCTGAAATTCTGAGATTCTGAAATTCTGAGACTCCGAAATTCTGAGATTCTGAGATTCTGAGATTCTGAGATTCTGAGATTCTGAGATTCTGAGATTCTGAGATTCTGAAATTCTGAAATTCCGAAATTATGAAGGATTCTGAGATTCTGAGATTGATAGATTCTGTATGTAGAATCTGAGATTCTAACTCTGTTATTCTGAAATTATGAGTCTCTTAGATTCTTAGAAAACCCCCCAAAATTTTTATTCAACTCTCAAATAAAGTCTAGCAAACCTTCTGAAACATTCTTGACATCATCACAACGTCTACTTGTCACTTGCAACCTTTTCTGTCCATCTTCTCCTCCTCCAAACTTCTAAATGCATGCTACACAACCACAAATAAACACAAAATCAAAAGTTGGAGAACCTATTTCTCTTTGGCTTTTTTTCATTTATCCTGCCTCCCTCTTTTCTCGTTCCCTTCAAATTTCTCATGTTTGAAATATGAGCCTGTCATAGTTTTTTTTTTCTTGTTCCAAACCTCTTTTTTCCTATTTGTTAGACTGAAGATTATGACCCTAAACCTAAGAATCCGAGTGCTTTAGAACTCACAAAAGAAGAAGAAGAAGGTATTATATGAGCTGAAAAGAAATGCGTTCTGGCTCATCATAATAATACGGATGTGACGAAAAAAAACGAACGCTAGTCATCTAATCCGAATGTTCCGGAACACGATAAGCCAGATTTTTTTTTCTGACTGACTAGTCGAAAAAATATGCTAATTCGTTCATATTTTGTTTTTCAAATTTCCATTATGGTTTCTGTCTATGTGCCTTTAAAACATTTTTTTTTGAAAATTTTTAGAAAATAAAATCTGAAGCCCTCGAAGATAAGGGAAGCTATACTTTTCGAAAAATTTCAATTTTATGATGGGCTAGACAGTAAGGTCCGATAACCAGAAAATCGATAAAATTAGCTGGAAATTCAGAAAATTTTGAGTTTCCTAGAATCCTCTATATTCCCCAAGACCCTCAGCTTCATATGTAAGGAAATTCTGAAATTCTGAAATTCTGAAATTAAAAAAAATTCTGAAAACTGTGAGATTTTCAGATCCTTTATAATTTTTTTTTGAAATTCTAATTTCTAGATTCATGGTCCCTCATTCTGCCACGTCACCTTTTAATGCCCTTATCCCATCACCGAATTACCCGTCCATTGTATACATTTCTGTGACATAACGACTACAATAATGCCCCTATTTCCATATGTCTACCTCCTACTCTTCCAAATCCTCTAATAAGCCAAAAATCCAAAATATGTAGGTGTTCTTGGTCAGTTTTAGTCATCGAGTTATGTCTGGATAGGAAAAAATGAATAGTACAAAATTTTTGAGGACGGTGAGACACAAGTTTTAATGCTCTAGGTTTAGAACATTTTTAAAGTAGGAGAGACAGGTTTTTTTGGAGTTACGGTATGCATTCTATAGTGACGGTGTACGGTGATCGGTGTTCACACAACAGTAGCTTGACCTATCTGACTTTAAACTTTGAGCTCATATATCTCAATTGCTATAAGTGATATCAAAAAACTGTCAACTGATATAATGTTGATAATAATATGATAAATAATTTATCAGTTAAACACTTTTCGATATCTTTCACAGGAATCAATATAAATTGGCTCAAAGTTGACAGACAGTGTAGGATCCCCACATACCGTCAACTTTGAACCGCTTTATCTCGGTTCCTATGAGAGATATCAAAAATCTGTAAACTGATAAAATATTAGTTATATTATGATAAAAAATTAAACAATTAAATTTTTTTTCGATATCTTTCATAGGAACCGAGATAATTGAGCTCAAAGTTGACAGTGTTTTGTAATACGGTCTATCACAGTTTTGATTTTTCACTGAAAAAAACATTCCAGAATTTTTCGATTTGTTTGGAAAATTCAGAGTATACTAAACAAAATTAGAGCTTCATTTTTGTAATTGACAACTTTTTTGAGAATTTCCATTCTGATGAGATAAGGCGTTTGTAACCAAAAAATGCCAAAATTAGCACTGAAACTAGTGTTGAGCTACATTGAAACCGTTTATCTCTCTTGGTTGGAATTCTACAAAAAAGTTGTCAACTACAAAACTGAAGCTCTTCTTTTGTTTAGTGTACTCTGAAGTTTTCAGACAAATTGAAAAACTCTGGGGTACATTTTTCAAGACTCCAAAGTTGACTATCTACTGTCCACAATCACAAGTTCACCTACCCGAGAAGCTTTTTTTTTAATCGTGTCCACCAGTGACGTCAGGAATTCCGACTTCCGACTTTCTACTTCCGACTTCCGACTTCCGATTTCCGACTTCCGGAAAATCATTTTTACTTCCGGCGGCCGGCCCTCGAATTTTGCCGACGACTTTTTGCAAAAAGTGTTGCGAAATTTGTTCATTTTTGATCAGAAAAATCAAAAAATGGTCGTAAATAACGAAAGTACCATGAATTGTACTCCGAAATAATAGTAGGCTATACAAAAAGTTATTTTTTAAAAGTTTACTTCCGACTTTGGAATTCCTAC